ATACATGCACTTAACAACAAATGTGGCTTCTATTTTTCTTCTTGCAAGCCAACCAGTATGTGACATGTTCAACTTCCTAGATACCGTGCTATGAGTCCATGCTAACTATGAAGACAGGTATCTTAGTTACTTTTCTCATTACTGAGGCAAAGATAAAGGAGGAAAGATTTATTTTGGCTGATAGTTTGTAGACGCTTCAGTTCATAGCTGGCTGGCTCCAAGGCAGCTTGGCACAGCAGAGGGCATGGCAGAAGAGAAACAGCCCATGGCAAGCAGGCAGGCAAGCACATTAGCCCTCTTTCTGTCCCCTATACTTTACACAGGCTACCCACTCTAGGGCAGGTGTAGCATTCACACCCTTAATCCCAGCTGGAACCATGCCAAGCCAATCAGTAGGGTGATTTAGTAATCACATACCCTTGATCCTACTACCACACACTCTAGATTCAGCCACCCCTGAAAAGCCTCCCCCATGACTGCATGGCGTTTTAGGGGGACATCTAGGTATAAGCCATAACATTCTGTCCCTCCCCACCAAGACTCATGGACATCCCTTTGTGCAAAAGGCACTTTGTCCATCTCTAAGAGTTGCCAAAACCCTAACATTTTTAACATTTCTGAAAAAGTTCAAGTCCAAAGTCTCCTCTGAGATTTAAGGCAAACTCTTAGCTGCAAGACCCTGTAAAAATGAAGTGAAAGCTAAACACTTCTAACACTCACTGGCACAAGATAGACATTTCCATTCCCAAAGGTACAAATGGGGGATACAAAAAATGAGACCCACAAAGGGCTTGAGGGGCTCTGCCCCTCAGTACTGCTGGTGGTTGTAGCTCCCATGGTTTCTCTTTTGGGCTGGCTCTGCTCCCTCCTTGTAATTTTCCTCACACAATCCACATTCCTGGCTTCCCCAAACTTCTGGGGTCTCCATTGTACCTTTGGCTTTACATACTCACAGCTTCCCACACTGCCCTCTCAGGGGCACACTGCCTGGCCTCCCAGGCCTTCTTCTGAAATCTTGGTAGAAACCTTCCTGACCCTACAACTCTTGGATTCTGCATGTACCTAAAACCAGCACCACATGGATGATGCCAGGGTCTGCAGCCAGCTGGAGCAGTAGCCAGGATTCTTTTTCTCTTAGCTTTAGGGGTTGAGGACCTGGATTTCTGAGCACTCTGAAACCAATCCTGAGGAACAAATTCTGTAGGCTGCCACCATCCTGGAACATGGTACTCTGGGACTGTCTTCTCAAAGCAAAGTCTTTCACCTTTGCAACTCTGAGGCTGCAAAGGCTGGAGTTCTGCTGGTTTTTGTGATGTCCTTAGGCTATCTCTTCTGTTATATTCTTCTGAAATACTTGGCTTTGTCTAGCTAGTCTTTTCAGTGACCAACTTCCTCCTCTGTTATATTTTTGCAGGCTACAACTTTACTGGAGCTTTCTTTCTGGCAAAGCCAAAGCTCATGTTTTGGATCATTCTGGGAGGCTCTTTTCTCTTGATTCTCAGCATAAATCTGGCTAAAATCTCCAACAGTAGCCATGTCACTTTTTCAACATTAGACTGCTTGAAATTTCTTCTGTATGATTAAGTAACCCTTCACTCTTAATCTCAGTTCCAAGCAAAGTCTCTGGACATGAGCAAAATGCAGACAAGCTTTCGGCCAAGCCATAATACAGATCATCTGGAGTCCGACAATCAACGTAATCCTTCTTTCCAGCAGAAACCTCCTGAGCCTGGTCTTTATTGGGAGCATTTCTATCAGCATTCTGGTCTCCTGAGCTCCGACCAGCTTCTCCCATCACATACAGCCTCAGGCATTCCAGGGATACTTTTTCAGCTGGATTCTCTGAACCTTTTCAACGCTTGCCACAAGCCAGTTGCAAAGGCTCCTGAACCACATGGTCAGGTATAGTTACAGCAGTGATCCCACTTCTGGTACCAAATTCTTTCTTAGTTGTTTTTCTCATTGCTGAGACAAAATACCCAATACCAAAGTTAAAGGAGGAAAGATTTACTTTGGCTCATACTTTGTAGGGGTTTCAGTCCGTGTTCCACTGGCTCCAAGGCAGGGTGGCATGTAAGAAGGTCGTAACAGAGGAGAAACAGTCCACAGCAAATAGGTAGGTAAGAGCACATTAACTCTCCTTTTGTCCCTTATATTTTATGCAGGCTGCTGCCCTTATGGAGGGTGTATCACTCACACCCTTAATCCTATCCAGAACTGTGCTAAACCAAACAGTGGACTGATTTAGTAATCACACACCCTGATCCCTGCACCACACACTCTAGATTCAGCCACCTCTGAAATCTCCTCACCATTACTGCATGAGGCTTTAAGAGGTGCATCTAGACACAGCATAACAACAGGCCACTAAGAAGATCTGACCACCAGAACTCTCTAGACATGTGACATCAGTCAAGCTCTGCCAAGCTCTGCCTAGCTCTGCCTAGCTGAAAACTCAGAAATCATGGGGACAATCTATCTCTATTGTACCTGTACAAATTATTAATCCATAGAATCATAAATATGAATGTTTGTGTCCCTTCCAAAATCATTTGTTGAAACCTAATCCTCAAGGTGTTCATATTAAGAGATGGGGCCCATTGGGAAGTGATTAGGTCATAAGGGTCCTGCCCTTGTGAATGGGATGGGTACACATGGGTGGAAGAACTAGTCAGACCCCTTTGTGACTTGCAGGTGTGTTTGGGTGGGTCATAGGGACATGACCTTGAGAACCCTGCATTTGCTTCCTGGCCACCATGAGGTGACCAGCTTTCCTCTACTGAACCCCTCTGCCATGATGTTCCTGCCCTGGAGTCAGCTGACCGTGGACCTCTGGAACTGTGAGCCAAAACAGCATTCTCCTCCTCTAAGTTGCAAGTGTCCTAGCAATGTCCTCCTTCAAGTTGTATTTTGTCCTAGCAATGAAAAGCTGATTAATATAATTAGTTTGCTATTCAAGTTTAGATAACTGAGCTGGAACATTTGACAGCTCATTTACTATCCTTACTACTTTTGTTTATAGGCAAAGTAGATTTTTAAGGCAGGAAAAATTACTAAAGTAGGACATTTTACAATCAATGGAACACATGTATATTAAAAAATTATTCTTGTTTATCTTAAATGCAACTAAGCATAGTTTATTTTTATTGTGCTATATCTGGCAAGCCTATGGGTATAAGAATTAAACAACACAATCATGTTTATCTAAGTTATATCTATTAAACAATATACCCCTAAACATGTAGAATATTTATGCTATTGAAATATATAAAATATCTAGGTAAAGTGTATTACCTAGTTACTACGGAAAATAAAATCTTGCAAATATTTGGACATAAAAAATACCTAAAATAATGTCTAACTAATCTAATCATAAAATTCAGAATTTGAACTGGGTTATAGCTTTTAAAAATGACATCAAAATTGCAAAATTTAGCTAAAATCATTCTTAGAAGGTAATATATAACCTTAGATACACATACCATAAGAGAAGAAAGAATAATTATTAGTGTTCTGTATAGCCATCTTAGGACATTTAACAAAGAATGGTAAATTAAACTCAAAGAAGGCAGGAGGGAAAAAAAGAAATAATAAAGAAAAGGATAAACATTAATAACAAGAGGACAAACCTACAATGGAATCAACAAATATTGGTTCTTTGAAAAGACTGATAAGTGATATTCCTTCATGTGGCTTTGCATGTGTCCACACCTTTAACCTTCCCTTCTCAGGGGAGCCCAATTCTGCTCCTCTAAGTGTGGGCTGTAGATGGTGACTTTCTCTAACAAGTCCAGTAGTGGAAGGGGCAATATTTGACTTTAGGACTGGAGCACACCGGGCATGGGTTCCTCCTGGAAGTCTCACTCTGAGAAGCCTGCTGTCCTGTGGCGATGATACTCAGGCTGCCCTTAGAGGGTTTGTGGGGATTCACTGGCACCCTGGAAGCTTTCTGTTTGCTGTCCAACAGCAGGCATGAGAGTGACGTGCTGTGAAGGTGACTCCTCTGGCTCTGCTCAAGCCTCCACCAACTGTAGCCTCAGGTGACTGTGGTGGGACCGCATGAGACACCTGGCCAGAATTGCCAGATGTTCCTTTCTAGAGTCCCCCATAGAACCTGTGCAAGGTAGTAAGAGTCACTGAGTTTTCGGGTAATTTTTTATGCAGCAAGAAAATGAATATGCCCCTCACCCCCAAGAAAATTTGATCAAGAGTGGGAAATGCACAAGAAGGACATCATGAAAGACCCTATATACATCAAAACATAATAAAAGGTTATTTGAAGAATTTATGAGAATAAATATAGAATTTAAAAATTTCTAGAAAAACCCAGCTCACCAAAACTGGCCACCCCAAAATAAGGCTCACAGAAAATTTCAAGCTTGATTCCAAAGAATTCAAACTAACTTTATGATGCCAGGAAAAAATGTGATAGAAAACCTGAAAAAGACATTGCAAGGAAGATCAAACATAGGCCAATCTCTACAAATACATAAGCAAGAAGCCTAAGCAAAATGTAGCAACCCAAGTGCAGTAATATATAAAAAGGACACTTTTTAATTCCAGTAGTGCATGGTGGATTTGATATTCACAAATTACTTATTATAACAGATCATCTTAGTAGATTAAAGGAGAAAAATAATATGATCACATCAACATATGCAGAGAAGCACTTGATGAAATTCAATATCTACTCATGTTTCTAAAAAACACATATTTAGCAAACTAGGAATTGAAGAGAACTTCTTAAATCTGATAGAAAGCACACAGAGGACATTATACTTAGCAGATGTCTCCCGTGAGACTAGGAATGCATTAGCGTTCCTGCTACCATTACTGTTACTCAACACTACCCTGGAGGTTCTAAATAGTCACTAAAGGAAGAAAATGAAGGAATTAAAGTGGAATAGAACAACTGTCTCGTGATCTTAGGAGAAAACCCAAAGGAAAGTGCATACAGCTTAATAGAATTAACAGTGTTCTCAGCCCAGAACCTCCTCGTTCTCTACATTCGGGCTGGGGTGCCCAAACCTGCCTCTCTGGGAAGCTTCAGGGTCACCAAGGGAGGAGAAAGAGTTAAAGGACCACGCCTGGCTCTGCAAGTTTTTGCTGAGATGCGACCCCCATCACCTGCCAAGGCATGTCACAGACAAAGCATGCCATAGGTCACTCCTGAGTTAGAGAGTGGGCATGTTTCATCCCCGCAGAGCAGGCATTTCAGAGAAGGAAGCTGGGATAGCTAGCAAACAATCACATGACATACCACATGCTGAAAGGGCAGACTCTAGCAGACTGAGAAAAAAGCAGGCTGTTGTTGGAGACAGGAGATCAAGACTTTGGAGGATGATTGGCCAGTGGAAATTTCCCAGAGTGGATTCACCAAAAGAGCAGGTGTGCTCCTGTCTTCCTTTTTAAGTGCTGTTCATTTTGCTCTACAGTGCACTCCTGCTACTTCCTGCACATTTGCTGAAGTCCAGCACACACACAAAATCTTTATGTGAGTATTTGTTGGAAATAAGGGGAAGAATATGCTATGTTTTGGATATGATTTGAGAAGGTTCCCCAGTGGTTCACTTGAGGGACGCTCAGTCCCCAGAGCAGTGGTGGCGGGAGGTGGGACCTTGAGAGAGTTTTTTGTAGAACAGATCACAGAGTTCCACCTTAGGAGGATCAGTGCTGGTCTCCTGGGTGGGTTGCCTCCTGGGAGAGGAGGGTTCTTACAAAGCAAGGTTGGCCTCAGGCTCCCTCTCAAGCTTCCTGTCTTCCCATGTGATCTCTCTTTGCATGTGCACCCACCACATTGTGATTTAACCCACCGCCCCGACAGACTGAGCAGACATTGGTGCCAGGCACTTGATCTATAGACTGTGAGTGAAGTAAGCATAAGTAACCAGCCTCAGGCTTTTTCTTACAGCAACAGAAAACAAAGTAAGACAGAAGCCCAATGTCCTAGTGGGTCAGTGGAGAGCTGGAAGAGACCACCACCACAGGAGGAAGGCACTCATGTAAACAAAAGCTCAATAGAGAGAGCAAATGGCAGCCATACGTGATGAGAACATAGGCCCTGGAAGCATGCAGAAACCTGGAGAAGGGAACTGGAATTCCTGCAGGCATCAGAGATGAAGGATGAGATAATTTTCTCTAAATCTCAACATTCTTAGCTAAGTTTAGGCTGCATCTGTGAGAAACATACATTTGTTTACCATTAGAAACTGATTCACAGGACCAGGGATATAGCTCAGTGGCATAAGTGCTTGCCTGGCAAGTTCAAGGTCCTGAGTTCGATTCCTGGTACCAAAAAAAGAAAGAAAGAGACTAATTCACATATATTGTGAGTGTCCAGGGTTGAGCACTCAGTTGTGTGTTCTGCTGAGTTCTTCTTGGGTTTAGCATTAATTTTTTTCTGAGAAATCATTAAAATATTTGTGTTGATCACACCAGAAACTCATACAACAGAAGCACAAATAAACCAGGGGGACTATGTCAAACTAAGAAGTTTCTTCCTGGCACAAATAAACAGCAAAATGAAAAAGCAGGCTGTGGGTAGAAAGTATTCATGAATCATGAGAAAGTATTCATGAATCATGTCTGATAAGGGTCCAATGTCCAACATACACAAAGAAGTCACACAACTCAAAACATGAAAACAACCTGGTTAAAACTGAGCAAGAAATCTAAACAGAAATTTCCCCAAAGAAGATTTGAAAATGGCTAAAAGGTATATAAAAGGTGCCTAACATCATCAAACATCAAGGAAATTCAAATCAAAACCAAGATGAGATGCCATTTTGCACCAGTAAGGACAGTTATTATCAAAAAGACACGAGATTACAGATGCGCATGAAGAAAGGGGAAACTTGTACACTGTTGGTGGGAGTGTAATTGGTACCACCTCATGGAAAACAACAGGGAGCTGCCTCAGAAATCATTAAAACTAGAGCTACCACATGATTCAGAAACCCCCAAGGAAATGAAATCTGACCAGCTCGGAGATGTCTGCGCTGTTGTACTCATTGGGGCATTATTCATAACCACCAAGGTGTGGCTACAACATCAATGTTCACTGATGGATGAATGGATATGAAATTCCAGGATTTATGAACATATATCCAATAAATAACAATGGAATAATCTATTGTAATTATTATATAAAATGTATTACACATTAATTATACATTATTCTGGACTATGTTTAATAGATATGCACAATAGTTACAATGAAGTATCACTCAGCCTGTAAGAAGCTGACTCTGCTGTACATGACCATGTAGATGAAGTGGAGGGCTTTATGCTAAGTGAAATGGATAGACACAGAAAAAGGGTTATGTGACCTCCCTTGTATGTAGATCTAAAAAAGTCAAATACTGAGAAGCAAAGCGCACAGGGGGTGGGGGGAAGAGAAGGGGAGCTGTTGGCAAAGTGTACAAAGTGGCATGATCAAGGCTAGAGCTCCAGGGTACAGCATGATGAACACAGTCAGGGGTGCTGGATTGCATCCTGGAAGTTGGCTCCAAAGTAGCTGTCAGGCACTCTCAACCACACAAACACAACAGTAGCTATGTAAGAAGATGAATGTTAATTGATTGACTGTAGTAATAATTTCACAAACTGTATGCATGTCAAGACATCATGTTGAGGCCAGACATAGTAACATGTCCTATAATCCCAGCTACCTGGGAGGTTGAGGAGAGAGAATCAAGAGTTTGAAGCCCAGCTGGACAACATAGCAAGACCCACTCTCCAGCTGGACAACATAGAGAGAAGCTGTGTCAAAACAAACAAACAAAAAAAGCAAAACATGTTAATATATCTTGAATATATACAATGCAAATCAAACCTTAAAAAAGGGATCATTAAAGAAACATAACTCTGGTATATTGCAATGGAGTTTTCTTCTTAGCAAATAAAAAGAGTTAACAAATGTTATTCAGAGCTTTTAAATTATCTGGATCCTCTAAAGTATAAATGTGGGGATTCTGATGGTAAACGCAAGAAGTTCCTAAACAATAGGGGTCTACGTAATGGTTCGGCCCAGAGTCAGCTTCTGTGTGAGCCCCAAAACGTGCCGCCATTCAGTGCAGCAACAGGGACTGTGTCCCTGTAGAAACTGAAATGTAACACACAAAATGTGTTCAGAAATAAAAGGCCAATCCAGACAAGACTGCACGGGTCTACACAAATTCCTTGCCATCTAGAGTGTATGTTTATCTATGAGAAATCAGGTCAACCAATCTCAAAATGAAACTCAAAGAAACTAAGTTCCCTGCACGGCCCATGGGTGGCTACTGTGATACCCACACGTGTTCCATGTAGCAAGCTGCATGTCTGTGCTTGTCCACCCACCTGTATACAGCCCAGCCAGCCAGAGGCAAATGCCAGGTTAGCAGTGGTCCATGTGTGTACATGCGTGTGTACACATGCGTCCCTCTGAAGTACACATTAAACTGAGAGCCTGAAGATGACAACCTATTTAGGAGGTGATTTCCAGGAAAGGTCAGCATGAGAAATGGAGTGAGACAGGCAAAGCCACAGCCAATAAAGGATCCTTTCTCAGGCAAAACCCTTCAGGGAACATCTAGAGCTTGTCCTAATGAGGCACCCTGGGGCCAGTGTAGACCATGCTCATCGTTACCCCGCAAAGGGGGTGCTGGGGTACTTGCACCTAGCTGCTCTGGTCACTGGCTAAGGGCTCCTGAGGAGGTTCAGATGCTCCAGGATTCAGGGCTGCTGCAGGCTCTGCCACCAGTGTCAGGTGGGGACTCAGAGCTGCAGATGTAGCAGATGGAAGCCAGTGGTGACCAGAGCCATATGCTGAATGCTGAAAGTCTGTGTTCCCATTTGCTGTCCACCTGGCAAGACACAGCATGGCCATCATGTTCCTTGCTAACTTTCGTGCAGATTTTGGTGACAGGTAAGAAACCACACCTATGGGGCTCTTGATCCCTTAGTTCATCTTTTATCCTCCCTTTCATGTTATCCTGCTTCACACCCTGCTATTTGATGTCTTGCCCCCAAAAGAATCAGGAAAAGATTCAGCAAAACAACTAGGACAAGGGCCCAAAGAAGTCACAGTGCTTAGTTCCCCATCAGTTCTGGGGAGGGTGCCCACAAGAAGTAGCCACACAGAAGAGCACAGCTGTGAGCAGCTGCAGCTGTTCCATTCTGCCCAAGGTCACTGTCTCCCTCGCGGGGGCCAGAGGGCGGAAGTGCTTGGCTGTAGCAAGCATCTGAGCAGGTCTGCATGGCTCTGTCTTCTTCCCACTGCACTCTAATTATCCCTGAGTAGCACCAAAGTCAGAAAACCCCAGTCATTAACTTTTATGGAGCACATTTTCCAAGTCTACTGTGGGCTTCCCTGCTCTTCAGAGCCTGTACCACTTGCAAATAGTGTGAAAAGTTAGAATCAGCAGAGATCGAGCTAAGATGATGATTCTCATTTGGGGGTGATTCTCCTCCCAGGAGCTGTTTAGCAACATCTGGAGGGATCTTTGGTTGTCACGACTGGTGAGTGGATTCTCCTGGCATTTAGTGAGCGGGTCCCAGATTGGCTGCCAAGCATCCTGCGGTGCCCAGGACCACACAGTGCACGGTCTCACCAGAAGCATAGCAGCACTAAGCCTACGCTGGCCTGGTACCAAGACAGGTTTCCCCTGGAAACAGAGTGATCAGGACCCTTTGGGAATCTCTCTGAAATTCTGATTCCACTCCTCTGGTCCCAGTGTTTGGATCTGGAAGAAAAGTCTATCACCATAAACAATCCCTGCTTTACATTTTGGAAGACCTGTACATCTGAAGGCATTAATACATGTAATATACCATGAGATTAATAACAACCAATTGCCATGGCCACTTTTCTTTCTTTCAGCTTGTATCAGAGCACATCCAAATCAGAAAACTTGATTGTTTCATTTCTAGAAAACTTAATCTTTTGATGATGACCAATGTAAATGTATCACAATAATATATTTTTAATAACTTTTATTGGGGTGTCTACCATAAGGCTATGGAGCTCACTGGGGCTTCTTATTAATGAACAAGAACTGGATAATGTTTCCAGGCAGCTGCTTTCTTATTCATCAATTGGAGTCCTGTCCAATAATTTCTCCTCACCCTAAGGGATTTTTGTTTAATTATCTTAACAATTTTTGATGACTTATAAGAACCTCATATTTTTGAACAATGGGAAACTTTCAAGTCATAATACATAACAACAATGTGCATTATAGCATAACAACAATGTCCATTAGATTTATAAAACCAATTTTAACATCATTTTGACCAGCTGGGAACTTTGGTGGAAGCATGCTTTTTAAATCTATAAACCAGGGCTGGGGATTTAGCTCAGCGGGGCTGGGGATTTAGCTCAGTGGCACAGCGCCTGCCCTGCAAGTGCAAGGTCGTGAGTTCAATCCCCGGTACCAGAAAAAAAAAATCTATAAACCAACTTAAATTATGAACAAGTGCTCCATTTGTTTCCGAACAAATGCTCCAAAAATGTAAAAGCAAAAGGAAAAGCAAAAAAATTGTTGAGCTCAAATAAAAAAACAGTTGTTAACAGATTGGACAAACATCTTACAAAATCAGATATATTTTTGACCAAACTGAATTATAACTCTTTTACAATTTTAATAATTAATAATTTAATAATTATAAATAGACGTCAGAATTTTTGTAGGTCAATTAGCAAGATCTCTTACAAGAATTTGGAAGGGACAAAGTTTTTTTATCTATAATTAATGGTTTATTTTATTTTATTTTGTCTTGAGAATACTGGTAGGGCTGGGGATATAGCTCAGCAGCAAAGCACCTGCCTGTCAAGTGCATGGTCATGAATTTGATTCCTGGTACCCTCCCAAAAAAACACTGGTAATTTTGTGTCCCTTTCTTTTCCATAACTTTCAGCTTGGTTATCTCCATGTGCTCTGTCACCTACTCAGACCTTTGACCTCCATTTTGGTTACCATCTCTTGGGCATCCTGGGTCAATTTCTTTAATTGGCCCCAGGTTGAGTCTAGCCCCATCCTTGTCTACTGGTTGTGGCATGGTCTTTGAGGCATCACTGCCACAGGACTGAGTATCACCTTCTGGAAAGGCAGAAATGGCTCCCTCTAAGCCTGGGTCCATGATGCAGCTGGATAGCACATTCTGATGCCCAGACAGGCCATTCAGCATTCTCTGGAAAGACAAGCATAGCCTCAACTCCAAATGAGTACTGGGCTGGGTTCCTTCCATCGTCCAGTATGAAGGTTTTTTCCAAAGGACCCTTCCTAGCTTCTTTTCCTTTACCTGACTGTAATTGTCCTTCTGCTGCTGTAGTTCCATCCCCAGTATGATTTTAAAAGTTAATAGTATATACTGCCAAGCGAAGTCTATTATGAGGTGTGAATTTTGTAGGGAAGGATCCCCTTTCTGTTTTTATAATTGAATTTTGCGCATACAGTGAACATATTTAGCAATTTTCAGACCCTGAGAGTTATAAGGAATTGCCACGGTAAGGGAAATGTGAAAAGTTTTACAAAACATTTGGAGGGCAGTACTCATATAGGCTGGGCCCTCATCAGTCTTAAGTGCCCACAGGCAGCCACGGTCCATGGGAGGAGGGTGCCCAGGGCCTCAGCTCCATCGTTGCCTGGCAATTGGCAGACTGTGGAATCTCATGGGTGTCATGGGCCACCAGGGGTGGCCTTGGCTAGGGCATTGCTCTTCTATTGCTGCCCACTCACTTGTCAGTCAGCCTGAGAGCCTCTAGCTGCCAAGTGTGGCATGAATGCCATAGCTTGGGTGGGCCAGTGGCTTAAAGACTCAGTGGAGCCTCTGTGGAGCTTACACTGCAGCACACAGGAGGCAAGGCCAGCCAGGCCCCCACCTTAGTACCCACCCATTATGGCCTGCAGAGGCACACAGACACCAACTGTGTGGCACAGGCCCTTCGAGCCGCTGCAGCACCAAGTCTGACCCACTCTGATGAGCCAGGCTGAGCCGCACCACCTCAAGGAGTTCTCCATGCTGCAGCACCCCTCCACCTCCACAATGAGTCATAAGCCTGCGGCCACAGCCCCTTCCCACACCGGGACAGTGGTAGCCCCAGGTGGCTCAGCCCTGTGATGCAGCAAAATTTTTTTGAGCAGAGAAAGCAGAAGTAGCCACAGTTAAGACACAGTTAAGGTTATCAGTTTTACTTTGGGTGGCTGTGAAGTAGAAGTCATGATGAAACACTCCTCTAGTGGGGAAGGGTCTTCCTTTGCCCCCTATAGTGCTTCCTTAGCTCTATGGGGTGGGCTGTTGCTCCACTATTCTTTTTATGTTCTAGACTTAGTTTTAAAATTGTGCCCCAGGCCAAATCCTCTGTGGTCATCTAAACAAGCGTACAATCATCAAGCCACTCCCTAATCCAGGTCCACAAGAAAGGTAAATACGGGAATCAATAATACAATTTTTATTTACAACTGTTGCCTTAGGGAGCCTGTTTTTGCCCCGTGTTTTACACCTGTTGAAATCAACGTCAATATACCTCTCTCCCCTGTGCTTCTTGTGAGCCTGATTTTGTTCATGTGTGCTCTCAGAGGCGTTCTCTCACTTGCTATATGGTGAGTTTCCGTGTACCCCAGGTCCCTGTTACGGGCACCAAAGTGCTGTATATAGTGCCGTTCTCAAACTTCCCTGGAGGGCAGATGGTGGAGGATGAAGAAATGAAGACAAGAGTCAGAAAACAGAAAGCTGAGGTCAGGTGAAGCCTCTTCTCCTGGTGGGAGAAAAGAGCTGTCCAACGACTATGGTGCATTTATTTATACTCAGCAGGTTGATGTCGTGTGACACCTCTCTCCCTGTTAGTTTATTTGTTGAATTGCCTCAGGGTGTCCGTGTTCTCAGGGCTGGCCTTGCTTTAGCGCCCCCCCCCCCATGTGTGATCAATCTTCAGCTTCAGCCGCTCCCCATTTCTTGGTTTGGGTCTGGAAGTACAATGTGTCTCTAAAATTCAGACTTCGGTTCTATGCAGTGTACCTTGGTCCAGCAGATGTCCTGGGAACACTGAGATACACGCCTCCCACTCTGGCCCTGAAGAAGCTGTGCAAGAATAAGACCATCTATCGAATGTCGCCTGTGGCCCAGGCTGGGGACACACAGGGATGTGCAGTCAGGGACTTCTGAAATGTCAGTCATTGAAAGCAGAGGCTCAAAGAACAGAAACGTGTGAGAGGAGATTTGAGGTAAATTTTCTGGGTCAGTGAAATAACAGCAAATAAAAACACTGAAAGTCCTTGGCAACACTTACTAAGATGGAGGAGAGATATGTGATTTCCTTTGACCATGAAATGAAAATATTTCTGTATATTTACAATGCAGGCTTATAATTTTTTGAAACATATCTATATCTATTACCAGATTACCTCTATTTGAGGGTGACAAGGCAGGGGTTATTCCAATTTACATTTCCAGTAAGCTGGCCCCAGAGACTTAAGCAGTGTATGCTTGTCATGTCCAAACTCTGACCTTGTGGCCAGCAGTGGAGTCAGTGGGGATTTCGAGGGCCTTGGAGGTGAACAGATGTTGGTAGGATCCTAGGTTCTTCGCATGTTCATCCTGTGACTTTAAACGAATTACTGAGTCATAGCTTTCTCAGGTGTGATGGGGACATCATCCCTGCTCTGACTGACGTGGGGATAGAATGGGGTAAGTGCTTTCCAACTCTTGGAGATGACAAATGTGGGCCCTGGTTATGGATATCAGAGCCGCTCATGGCGGCTGTAGAGGCGTCCTCGGAGACTGCTCCACTTCCTGTGGATTTGCCTCCTTGTGCTCCCAAGGACTTGATTCTTAGTATGCTCGAATTAATTCAACAACCTTCCTGCAAGGATGAGACAGCTGATGTGCTAATTATGCTTGATATCACCTTTAATAATATGAGATTAAAGAGTCAGAAGTGAGGTCTTAAACTTAACAAGCAGGTGTGCTTTTCCTTCTTAGTATTCTTATATAGATTTCAGTCAAGCAGCATATAAACCACTTTACACAGTGACAAACCCCAGATCCCACCCACTGTAAGGAGTAGCTGAGCAGAGTGCGTCATACAGCTCCATCATCCCCGCTCACTGTCCCCCTTGCTGCCCTGGGTGCTGCACCTGTCAGGGTGGCTCTGGGTGTGCTTTGTCTGGGGTTTGTGCTCTGCTGTTTCTCTTCCTCCCCCTTATCTGCAGAAAGGAAATGGCTCACTCACCCTGACACAAGGGATCCTAGGCAGCAGATGCCTCTTCCTTACAGCCATTGGGAAGGTGAGCTCTCAGGTCACAGATCCCATATCTACTCCACCTTGCCCTCTGTGTGACAAGGAGGCAGCTGCAGAACAAAAGTAACACGGGCTGCCTGGACAGTCATGGGCTCATGTCTTCACTCCTACAACACCACACCCATGCTTCCACTTTTTCCAAGTCTTCTTCATCTTGTCTCTGAGATACAAGTGTTGATGTATGTAAGATTGCAGGAGAATTAAACACAGTGAAGTTTGCACAGTACCCAGAACAGGAGCTAAACATAGAAAGAGTTCAGTGAGTGTGGCAGATTAGGTAATGGTCAACTTATAACACCCAGGTGAAGTGAGTCAGCGTGGTTCTGGGTGTGGGAGGCCCACCTGAGGATTGTTACCAACAGCCTAAAAGGAGAACTGGAGGGGAAGATGATGTGCTCTTGATTCTTCTGGAGAAGCCTGTCATGCAGGTTTTCCTGATATGAACTTGGCTATTCTCACTGTTGGAGGAGCTCAGGTCCTCGTTGTTGCTAAGGTTTGGCTGTCCTTTTCAGGGGAGCTCTGGTCCTTACCTTGAGCATCACTTCCTGGCTCCAGTGCAGATCCCTCAGCCTGCTGGCACAAATCTTTCATCCCACTGGCACAGACTTTCTAGCTTCCGCCACTGACCTTTGGGTCTTCCCAATGCAGATCCTTGACACAGACTTACATGAGACACTGTCGTGGGCTCGAGGCCTCCAGCTGGGCTTGTGCAGGACATTGCCATGGGATCCAGGCCCTTAGCTGGATTCTTTGGGTCTCTAGTGTGTCGACAGACCTCTTGCACTCTTTTGCATTTGACTCTTTGGGTGAATATTATAAAATAATCCTGTAAATTACGTGTCCTCCATTAAATCTTTTCCTTTATAGACCCTGACTACAACAGTGAGACATTTCCCTGCCTCCATGACTGTTAGCTCCAAACTCAGCCTCAGCTTTCAGGACCTCTGTGGAATGTCACTCTCATCCATTTCATCAATGACAATGTGTTCACCCGGAGGGGTGAGCAAGGAGTGACCAATCACATGTACACTCCAGAGGGCAGAGATCAACAGTTCAAGACTGAGGACCTGCCACATCCACAGGTATGCTGGTCCCCTGGTCAGAGTGTGAGACTGGGACATTTTCTCCAGTGTAAGGCTGAGTTGCTGTAATCTGCACCTCTCATGTCAAAGTAGGAGCCCAAGACCTGTTGGCTTTTTCCCGGTCTGCTCTGCAAAGGAATCCCAGAGGGGCTGTGACCACAGGGTCCTCTGGTTGCATGCACCTTGTCACCTAGGCCAGCCAAGGGGGCACAGGAGCAGTCTGCTGAAGTTGTGGCTGAGGAGCCAGTCCAGGAAGGAATGCTCACAGAGACAGGGTGCTTTCCTGCAGAGTAAAACATCTATATACACCAAACATCTTCACTGAGTGAATCCCTGAAAGGAAGAACCCAGGATCCAGAAACCGAGGCATGGAAGCATGGGCCCCACTTGCCATTGACCCCTAGTGATCCACAGACAGGCTCTGCACTTCCCACCCCTGTGAGGCAGTTCTGCAAGGCTCAGGTTGCTCGATTCCAGGATTGTGGGTGCTGGTCCCCAGGGCCGGGGTGCTGGTCCTCAGAGGGACACACTTTCTCCAGGGCACTCTGTAGGACTCCCATTGGGTTGTGGGGTATGATTGCTGCCTGGACCCTTTTGTGTGTAGAGGTCAGCAGGCAAAAAGAAAAGTCACTGCCATCAGGGTGGGACATGGGATAATATTTTTCAGGAGGAGGCAAGCTGGTATTTGCAGTGGGGCCCAAGGAACAGGTGTATAGTCCAGGTGAACTGCTAGATCTCTCTGGATAATTACAACAGAATAGGCACAAATGCTACAAGCCCAGAGGGAGACAGGCGTGGTGACAGGGGACTAAAGGCCTCTGTGTGTGGGGGGGGGGAGGTTCTAGATCTCCTACAGGAAAGATGCCAGGTCTCTTAGTTATTTTCTCATTGCTGAGACAAAATACATGACACCCACAAGTTAAAGGAGAAAAGGCTTATTTCAGCTCACAGTTTATAGAGGTTTCAGTTCCATAGTTGGCATGGCAGAGGGGCCTTGCGGAGAAACAACCCATAGCAGGGCTGGCAGGAGCAGCCTCTTGCTGGGCAGCAAAGCAGAGTCTCCTGTCTGCTTTCCTTTTTATTCTATCCAGGCTATAAGCCTATTGGTTGGTGCTACCCTCACCAAGGTTGGGGCTTCCATTATCCATACCCAGAACTGTGCTAAACCAGGCAGTGGACTGATCCAGTATCACACACCCTTAATCCCAGTATCACACACCCTTAATCCCAGTATCACACACCCATAATCCAGTCACCTCCAAAAAGTCCCACCTGGAGGGTCTGAGGCTTTTGGGGAGACATTTAGATATGAACCATGACCCAGGGCCCTGGGGCGGGACAGTGGAGGAGGGTCTAGGACACACAGTAGAGCAGGGGACAGTGGTGTCCACAGGGTCTGAAGAACAGCCAAAGTGACAGGACCTCACCAGTCTGCCTCTCTGGGGTTTCTGAGGATGAAACGAGGCCAGCTGCTTCCTGTGTGGCCATGAGCAGCAATGCCCAGGCTTCTCCGGGATGGGCCCCTAGGGTGTCCTTCTGCTGAGGGCCAAGCCTTCCATTTCCTGGAGGAGCCCACACTAGGTGGCCAGGCGCCAGGGTAAGGAACAGAGCCATTTCCCCCCTCCTGGTCCACAGCCCAAGAACAGGCTGGGTATGGGAAACCGGGGTTGCCTGTCAGCTCCCCTCTGCCCCCATACCTCACCACCTCTGCCCCATGGCAACCATCCCTAATCAACTCATATTTTGATTACTTTTCTCTCATTGCTGGGACAAAATACTCAATACCCAAAGTTAAGGAAGGAAAGGTTTACTTAGCTCACAGTTTGTAGAGATTTTAGTCCATAATCAGCTGGCTACAAGGCAGAGTGCTGTGGCAGAGGGGCAACTGTTCATGGCAGCAGAAGACAGCAAAAGCAACAAGAACAAAAGGGGGAGGAACAAGTCTCTTTTCCTCCTTTATATTGTATGCAGACTACCCACCCTAGGGCAGGTGTAGTACTCACATCCCCAATCCTAGCACTTCACAAGGAACCAATCACAAACTCTAGATTCAGCTGCCTCTGAAAAGCCCACCCCTCATGACCACATGAAGCCTTGTGGGAGACATCCAGACAGAAACCATAACAACGCCACTTCTGAGTCTGCTTCCCAGAGCCCAGCCTATGACCAGGTTTGGACCAAGGGCTGCATGTGGAAGTTTGGCACTGTCTCTGTCCATTTGGGCTGCAAAATGGACACACCAGAGATGGGAAAGCCAAGCCCAGAGGGAGTCAGGATGATCCAGCGAAGCACAAGATAAGATGAAGCCTGGGACTGAAGGCTGACCAGAAGCTGGGCCCCAGGATGGGGACATGATGGCAAGGATAGGGCTGTGGTGGCCAGTGAACAAGTTCCATGATAAACTAGTGAGACCCTCTTGTCCAGGAATGTGACAAAAACAAGATGGTAGATCACCAGTCTCTCCAAGCTCTGTCCCTACCCTCTGAGGGGCGCCTTTGTTCTGCTGTGCTGACAACTTTAGAAAGGTTATAATTAATGGTGCTTGCAAAAGTATACTTCCAGCGAGTTCTTAGAGGCCCACCTCTACATCAAACTTTCTTGCTTGTGACCCCACAGGCTGACCTCAACCTGGCCCGGGGTGGTCTGAGATGTAGTCATTTTTTTGTGTGTATAAAATCCCCTACATAAAGAGTCCCTATGACAACCTGCTTGGGTCCTCTCCAGGTACTGGGAGCTCTTTCTTTTTGCTCTTCAATAAATGTGTTTGCCCATTCTTTCATGACTCTTTGTCTTCTCATTCTTTCTGGGTTGAGAGAAGAACCCACCAGCCAAATGATAACAACTCACTGGCCTGACATGTGAGGCCTTCTAGTAATGCCTGACATAACCTCACAACCCAGTTCTTGCTGCTTCCTGTGCAGGGCCTGTCCACCACCCAGGCTGTGCCTTGGATGCTTGAGACCTGTATATTCTGTTCTTTCTGGCAATGTTCTCCAAGGCCCTGGTCCCCAAGCCTGGGCAGGTTGTCCTCCTCTGAGTGCCCTTGCACTAGCATGTACCACACTGCCTGCAATTGCCTGGTTCCTTGAGTCATCCAGACCAAGACGAGGTGAGCCCAGTCCCCAAGAGGGCAGGCATTGTGGCACTTCTGGCATTGTGCTTAAACACTGACCTCAGCTCTGGGGACCAGGTGACAGTCTCATGAGCCACTTACCAACAGGAAGGGTCTTTCACAAACACCGTCCTTCTGCAATCTCTTCCTTTGAGTTCCCACAGAACTTTAATCTGGTCTGCATAATGCAACCCATCCAGCCACCCATTCATTCAACTAACAGAGAATGCTCTCTAGGAGCCAACCCTTTGCTGGGGCTGAGGCTGGGGCTGGGGCTAGATCTGGGAGGAAGACTCAGGTTTGCCTTCCAGGAGGTTCATAAGCGACACAGACAAGAAGAGATGCAGTGATGACCAGACTCTTATCCTAACCACCTACTTCACCAGGCAGAGGCTCCCAGGGGTGGGGAGGACCCCAGCTTCTTCATCTTGCATCTTCAGAACCTAGTCCAAAGCTAGCAAGTTGTGTGTCACTGCTGAATGAATGAATGTGTAAATTTAGGTAATCCATGCTTGTGCTAATAACTGGGTTGTTTATCAAGAACTGAGATAAATCCAGAGTTTTGGAACAAAAAAGAGCCTCAAAGTTCAGAGCCCCATCCCTTATCTATGATTTTAATTCCTTCCCAATATCACTACAGTTGGCTTTGTAAAGATAATCGTGAGCTCCTCAGCATAGAAGCATCATAAGACACTAAGATGCTATTTTTTGCTGATTTTTAGATATGTTGGAGATGAGGATTTGCAGCCCACATACTTCAAAAATGCCAACATCCTGCCTACAGCTGGCACATCCACTGCTGTCACACACCTGCATGAGTACTGGCACTGTGGCCTGAGGCCCATCCTGTTACACCAGTGACAACCAGAACTTCTGCCTGGTGCAAGTCATCAAGCTGCAGCCCACAGCATGCTGGTTCCATGCACCGGTCTCCCAACAGGCACAAATAAAAGAACCTGGACTGTTCTCTGAAACTCACTGTGATTGTATTTGTCTCCAAATTAAAATCACATTAATTGAGCACGTGTAAAATTCATTTGGGTTCCTTCAGCTTGGCTTGCTGTGCAACTCAGTACCAGATACACAGGAAATATTTAACCTAATTGAACAGGCAAATGCTGAAACAGATTCTGGGTCCACCTCAAAGCACTCTGGCAACTGCGTTATTGAGGACAACTAATGAAAGTGCTGAACGCAGACAATTGCCACTCTGTACAAAAGCACTCGCTAGTTTCCATGGTGCTACTCAAAAGCTCGTCTCCAACAGCAGCAGCAGCACAAGAAATGAACTATGTGATGTAGTGAAATTTTCAAAAGTCTTTGCCATTTTCTTGCCACCTCCTGTTGGGGGACCGTGAGACTCGGGAGGGCTCCAGAGGGTCGAGGAGCTCCTGAGCCTGTGTTCTCAGTGACCAGCACACTGCAGTGAGTGGTCATGATCTTGTTCACAAGGACAAAGCCCAGTGACAGAAAGGAGGCTTTGGGAAATTCAGAGACCATCACAATGTTTTTAATGCTCTTGAGGACAAACTTATAAATTTCCAAACATCTACTAAGGACATAGATGGGATTGGATCTACAGGGTCTGGGTTACCAAGCTAATTAGAAAGCAAGAGATTTGTGCTGGAGCTTTGGAGACACAAATACAGGCTCACACTAAGGCTCTGCTCCTTGGGAGTGGTGTCAGTTATGCCACTGACATTGCCTCGCTGCACCCTGCAGTGACCACCTATGAGAAGGAGGCAGTCATCTCTCCACAGATCACTGGGAGATGAGGTCACACACCCAAGCAACTGACTTCAGTCCCCAGCCTTGATGTTCAGGAAGAGCCTGCAGGTGTGCTGAGTGTGCACATGAACACACACACACATACAACACACACGTGTGCACAGTCTGTTCAAGGGTCCTTCAAAGAGGAAGCATCCAGAGGAACAGTTGTAGGAGTGACTGATGAACCCTAACCATCCATTGAGGGCTAGGAGAGAATCTGTCCCTGTGACAACACACTTGGCTTTCTTTTCTGTCTTTACATTAACACATTTGGGGCTGGGGATATAGCTCAGGGACACAAGTGCCTGTCTGGCAAGTGCAAGGTCCTGAGTTTGATTCCTGGTATCCCCCAAAAAACCTTTAATGCATTTGTTGGCACAAGAGGAGGACAGAGGAAACAAACAAAAGAAGTTCTAGTGTCAAAGAGAATCTCTTGTTGAATTTGTTCTGCAGGACATTCTCATTGAAATTGGAAGAGATAGTTTCTGTAGGAGTTGAGGACAGCCCCACCTTGATACAGGAGAACAGCCATGGTGGCCTTGGGTGGACAAACCTGGCCCTCAGAGTCTGTACCTTTCCCTTCTCCACTTTTACAAAAGTGGGGGTGACAGGAAGGAAAGAGGGAAGAGGGAAGGAAAATGAAAACAGTGCTTTATTCTTGCACAGTGGCCTGGTGGGTAGTAGTGAAGAGTTGGAGAGATGTGTGTGCTTCAATTCAAAATCAAATCCCAGCTCAAACCTGGTAACTGTGTAACTCTGGGAATATGTACTCATCCCTCCAAACTTTCAAGTGTTATGGCGGTGTCTAGATGTCCCTCAAAGCCTCACGTGGTCATAGGTGGGGCTTTTCAGGTGGCTGAGATCAAGGGTGTGTGGTTACTAAATCAGTCCACAGATTGGTTTGGTGCAGTGTGGATAGTAGAATGGCCCTCCCCTGAGTGTGAGTGCTACCCACCCTAAGGGCCTGTAGCCTGGACAGAATAGAAGGGACAGAAAGAGGGCTAGTGTTGTCATTTGCTGCTGCTGCTGCTACTTCACTACTTGCTGCCTTCTGCCCGCCATGAACTGCGCCACCCTGCCTTGGAGCCAGCTGACCATGCACTGAAACCTATAAACTGTGAGCTACATAAGCCTTTCCTACTTTAACTGTGAGTCAGCAACAAGAAAGTAACTGAGACACAAAGGTTTGGTAAGTAAGTGAAGGACGCTGTCTTGGGACCTAGGAAGCCAACCTGGATGGGGCTTGGGCCACACAGCAGAGCAGACAGGAGAGGAAGTGCAACTCCAAAGGTCCGGTGGGAAATCCCCCTTCTGCCGCTGCCTTTCTGGAGGTGAGGTGCTGCACCTCAGCTTCCCCTGCTGCTATTTTCTTTTAGTGGTGGAGGGTTGAGTGGGTGAGAGAGAAACCTGAGACTCCAACCTCTTGAAGGAGAGCCACAGTCACTGCCCATGGACAGCTGTTCTGGTGGGGAGGCCCATTTAGCTCCCTCTGGGGGCTCGGGGCTGCAGAGTGCTTCCATAGGTGTGGCTCCTCATGGAACTGTCTCACACTAACCCGGGCATCTTGGAGCACAGAAGCTGTTCTCAACCCGGAAAGTCCTTGAGCGCCCTCGTCACCTACCTTGCTGCCCAAGGTTAAGCTGGCCCCCTTCACTGCCACACCTCAGAACCCTCTTCCTCTCTACACTCACAGGAGGACCCGCTGGGTACGTTTTCCTACAGACTGGAGCTATGAGGGTAGGACGATGGCATTTGAGGGTCCCCTTCTGTATCCCCGGCTTTTAGCATGGTCCCTGGCACATTGTGCAGTTCAATAAAATGTAGATGAAGGAATGAATGAATGAAGGGCTTCATCTTGGTAGGAAAGGAGAACTCCGAGAACATGCAACATGTTTAGATGAATTACACTTCCTGTGCCAAGTGGGCTCTCTCTCCCTCTCCCTCTGTCTCTCTCCCTCCCTGTGTGCCTCAGTTCCCTATGCCACTTAGACCTGCAGACAGTGGTTGTTTGAGACCAATAGTGCCTGTCCTGATGGGTCCTGCCTGTGACAGGACCCCACCATAAAGCAGCACCACCTGAAGGTGTCTTCCAACCCATGCTGTGCACAGCCTGCGCCTTGAAGTTTTGCACACAGAGTTTTGCATCAGAGGTACACACTCGGCTGCCGCCACATGCCAGAGAAGCTCCACTGTCCTGACCTATGGAGCACATCTGTGTAGACCCCACACCTGCATACTCATGTGTTCAGCACAGCTGCACTCCCACACACACCCACTCACACCCACACTCACACTCAGGTAGGACCCCACACCCCCCCACGTGCTCACACAGCTTGTATATGCTCGGTCCCAGTCACACTGAGAGCAGACTCACACACATGTCACCACTGACCCAGGAGGGAGAGGAAATAAAGGAGGCCCCAGGTCCTCAGGAGGCAGCGTCCAGCTGTCCCCTCAGCTCTGGCCGGTGACCCCTAGTCAATAGGCAAGGTTTAATGCCTGGCTGCCCCTCCCTGCTCCAGGCACATCCCACCTCCACCCCTGTGTCGCTCTACCCCAACCATTGCATCTCCTGCTCCTCAGGCCAGGGCTGTGAGTGGGTGGCGTCCTCCTTGAGACAAGGTGGAGGCCATGGAATCAGCAGAGGGAAGCCCGACTTCAGCTTGGCCACTTCTCTCTGGCTTCGGATAGGTGTGGCTCCACTTTCTCTGATCCTGTCCCTCCTCTCTAACTGGACAGCACTCCTGCCTTGGAGGGAATGGCCTTGCCTGGCTCCGATGCCCTTGCCTGGGTCACCTTCACTCATCCATCCCCTTCCTTTCCACAGGGTTGGTGCAGCAGCTGCCTCCTCGGGACAGAAGGGTGAGGGACCCTCAGCTTCCCCACTGTGCAGCTCAGTGGACCCACGTGCTCTCTAGGCCTCAGTTTACCATCTATAAAATGGGGGACTGCAAGGGGTGAGGATGCACCCAGGCAGCACATGCAGAGCATTTCTGCATAACTATGCCCAGTTTTTATCTTGACCTTTGGATCCCTCCTCCTAGAAGCTTGCGCCAGGTGCTCTGGAGCCACCCAGCCCTGACACATGAAGGGTTTCCTCTCAGTTCTCAGGCCCCTGTGACCCTGGGAGCTGTACAGGAGGCCAGGGAATACCAACCTGAGGAGGAGAGCGCTCAGCAGCGCAGGGCCAGGGAAGCAGATTGCGCACACAAGATGTCACTCAGAAGGCGTCTGCATCCCAGTGCCCATGACCCTGGCTTGAAGGGCAGGTGGAGACGGCTCACTCCACACCCGTGCCCAGTCACTCTGCTGTGTGGCACCCGCAGCTGTGCCTCCTGTACAAACTTTCTCCAGGCCCTGGGCCAGCTTCCTCAGCACAGCGGCCCCTCCAGGAACCGCAGGGAGGACGTATTCCCTTCTCACAGGTGAATAGGTGAACTCCAGAAACTTGTCCAGGTGCTGAGTTCAGGTGTGGCGCAAGCTGCCTTGCTGGCCAGGCTTCCTCTGTCTGCCCTGCTCCCTCTGCGCCTGCCACACTGCCTAGGCGGGCACAGGGTTCCTAGATCCTGAAGAGAACATTCCGGAAAAGGAGGAGCCAGAGACGAACCTGCCGAGCTCCCTGCTGGAAGCCGATGGAGGCGGTGATGGGGGAGGGTGCGGAGAGCCCTTGGGGCCAGGCCACAGGGGACACTGGCCTGCAGGCTCCCCTGCCTCTAGGCCAAAGACAAGAACTCTTCAGACCTGAAGGCAGCTTTCTACTCTGTAATCTAGTGAGGTGCCAGTGTGTGAGTTCTGCACAGATAACACAAGGGAAGTTCAAGGAAGTTGCTCTTTGATCATGAATCAGATATCCCTCTGACTTTCTCTGAGGAAACAGACTTTTCACGGCATAAAATTAGTATGGCGATGTTGGATTTGGGTAAAATTAGGGCAGTAGATGGTCGGAAACTCTTGGGGACCAGGGGATATGAAATAATGTCACTGTCTGGGGACCAGGTCATGTGACCGGGGCCCGTGGTCTGGAGGCTGGTGTGATCTGCTTTAGGAACAGAGAAGAATGTGGAAGGCCAAATGCTTCCTGGCTGTGGGAGAAAGCTCCTCACCACAGTGCTCTTGAAGCAAGATAACTCCTCCTGAGGACAAGCTACAGAATGCAGGTGTCCTGACATGGGGGAAGGCTTGTTCTCCATGCCTGTGCTCCTCC